GGAAAAGAGAAGGGTTGTTGAGTGCACCACACTGCTGACAGGGGTGTTAAATTTCCAGCTGCTTGCCCATCTTGCTGAGGGCATCGCTGACAATGTCCAGCTCATGACGTAGCTCATTCACTACGCTGGCAATGCTCTTCATGTCCTTCAGGATCTGCACGCTTTGAGTATATGGATTGTACTTCACACCAAATGGGCGCTTGATGGTTTTTGCAAACTCTCTATTCAAGTAAAAAAAGAAGGAGTTACAAACAAAACACAAATGCATCCTCTGTACGCAGTCAGTATCAATAACCGCTTTTCTGAACTACTTACTTTCTTTAAGAAAGTTGTACTTGTTAGACAGTTCATAATCTCTCTCACCCAGTACATGGAAGACCAAGCAAATACTAATCTTGGCTTTCCAACCCCATGAAAGATAATTATAAAACTGTTGTAAGAATAAAAGAGTTTGCTGTTGCTACCAAGGGATGTGTGACATCAACCCTGCTTTTATAAAACAGAGGAAAAAAACTGCTGTACCTCATCTTTTCCTTTGCTTCTTCAAAACTTTCAGAAACAAAGTAAACCTCCTGGAAAGTTGTAATGAGGCATTCTTGCTTGCAGGTGACCTTTGGATCAAAAGGCTTGACTTTGGCACTGCCAGAGATCGAGTGCTGGCAACATAAGGTGTTATCACAGGTCAGAGGAACATCACCACCCAGATAATCCACAAGAAGATGACATGAGGTAGAGTGAATAAAAAGAAAAATATTAAGTAAAACCATATATAGTGCATTGCTTCTTAAAATTTTTATCTGCAGATGAACAGAGGTTAAAGCTTAACAAACGGAGTATCTCTGAGCAGTAATATTCTGCCAATCTGGGTCAAAAAAGGTATTACTCAGACACAAGGCTCATGTGTCAACAAGAGCAGTATTTTCAGAATCTGGTTAAAAAAGCAGAGCTTTATTCTTAAAATAGTTACTTGGAACATAACATGAAGAAATACCAGTCATCTAACACTTCCTGAAAAAGACATGAGAGCTGCTCAGCATCTATCCAAAAACCAGACTGTCCAGTGATTATTGCCACAGTGAATTTGCTTAAAGTCTAGTAGGTGTTTAGGAGTTTTCAAAATAAGTACTTTTAGAATAATACCTCATAAAAAAACAGGGCAAAACAGTATCAATAATAATCAGGTACAAACAAAGAAAAGAGGTCAACAGGCAGTAGATATTCTTACCTTAAGCTCACTAATTGAGGAGAGCAAGCCAGCCCCATAAACTCGTAGCTGTCCCTCTTGCTTGCACAAGCCAAACTCTACAGTGAAGAAGTAGCACTGAAACAGAGGAGGGAGTAACATAATTCAGCCTTCAGCAAAGATGCTGTGGGGAACCAGATGGGGGCATTTCTATTTGTAGGTAGTGTCACACAGTTGCAAGTATCGGTCATCACTTGGTTATCCTTCTCAGATATTTAAAGATGAAGGAAGCCAGAATAGAAGGGTGAAGAACCACAGGATTGTATGTTTCTCATAAGAAAGACTGACACTGGAGATCTCATCTCCCAAATAGGCTAGAAGCTGTTAATGTCAACAGGAAGATGGAGACATCAATCTGTTTTGAGAAATACTGTCAAGACATGAAACATGGCAGTTTCAGCTTAAAAGAAACACTGGATAGAGAGGATCTCTGTGAGTCAGTGAAAACATCAGCCCACTACACCTTGTTCCTCATATGCTTAGTGACCTGTAAAATTAATGTTTAGTTTGCTGGATTTCAGGATTTCTGCAGGTATATGGGGAGGAATGCTATTTTCATAGATGGCTTAATTCTGCTCCCACTGAAGGGAGTGGAAATTTTACCACTAGCTACATGAAGTGAGGTAAAAAATGTGAAAATATCAGCAAACCAGTTCTTTCATAACTGGCATCAATTATTTTTCATCTAAATTTAATTTCAATCTTAAAATAGTGTTGCCAAAGCATCCAGAAACTGATACCCAGAAAATAAGATTAATTCATCTTATTTTAATTATTTGGCTGAAAAGTATCTAGTGCTAGTGCTCAGCATATTCAATGAAAACACCATATCATTCCAACTCATTCTACACATTAAAGAAGTAGATTACTTTAAAAATCATTTAATCATGTTCCCAGAAGTAAAAAGATCTTGTTTGGAAGAAACAGACCATAGAATTTCATTCTGGAAGAAGTGATCTACCACCAGAAGTTGCATCCTTACTTCATAGCCAAGTGAAAAAAATACCAGTCATATCCACCTTAAAATGTATTTTTTCCTAGCATGAAAAATTGCTCTATGCTCTAAAAGCCGAGAACCAGTGCAACACATAGGTCTACTAGCAGAGGCAGCTACTGTCAACATGAAGCTCCAAATTTATTCAATGGAGTAAGATCAGCCTAGTAGAGCACAAAGCTTTCAACAGGATCACCACCACTGAAACACTCACTGTTGCCAGTTTTTGAACAGCTTCATCTGATGCCCCAAGCGATGCAAGACCAATTTCCTGGGAGAATTGAGCAAAACTGGGTTCAGCCAAAAGTGGGACATGGCCTAGGAGCTCATGGCAGGTATCTCTGGAAAAAGAAACAAAACAAGAAACCTCATGATCTGTCTTTGTGGTAGAGTGAAAAAGCAGCACAACTGAACAGACACAATATCTTGCATTAAACTATTTAGCACACAGAAGACAGAAAAGTGTCAATCATGTTTAGCTGAAAGCAATTGAGCAGGTAACACCAGCTTTACCTAAGTATATAAACTCAGATTTTCAAATGAACCTGTCTAAAATTGAGATCTGAGCTCCACACTTATGAGGCAATTAAGTATTAAACGAACTCCGCACACAATGACATCAGTAAGAGCTCTCCAATAACACAGTGTACTTTTGAAAATCCTCTACTCATGAAGGTGGCACTTGAATGTGTTAAAACTTCGCTACATCCAGCATGAAGGCTGAGTCTTCAGCACCTTAAAAAAATCCGTTTTATTGCTGGTGTTCTTGAGCAGCTTTTAAGTAGCTTGGCTCTGGATAGCAAGATTCAAAACTTTGTCTCAAATTGTACCCCAAGATTAAATGACTCACGGCTCTGGTGTATAGAGAGGATCCGAGCTGTGTCTCACATACTGAGTGCAGTGAAAAACTCTGAATGCTAATCCTGCCAAAAAGTCTCTGGGCGATAAATATCCAGCAACAGGGCGAATGGTGAAACCTGTGCGCTCTGAAAACGACCGGAGAAACTGTACATTAGTTTAGTGTAGAATTGCACA